CTCTCAGGAATCTTCTTTTGCATCGGCCCTAAAACCTCGAGACTGTAGTTGCTTTTTTTCGATGTAGATTAGTTGATTAGTGATTTATTTGTTTTTTGTTGCTCTTGGAAATGCAAATAGTACTCTGGCAGCACAGTGCACACTTCACAGGCTCTCTCTGTCCTCTGGCGCACTCACTCCAGACCCGTCGCCATCTTGCTCCCCTGAGTTAGTTTTGATCTTAACTTGCCCCTTCCTCTTGGCAATCGTGAAGGCCCCTGTGCTTCGACTGGTCCAGGGTCTTGTGAAAGGCCAGCTCTCACCTTCTAGAAGCTGCCATCAGGTCACGTGCCTGTTGTGGCTTGCTTTCTCAGGCAAAGCTGGGCCAATCCACATCTACTTCCTCCCCCAAGAATTCATCCTGTGGCTTTCAGATTTGAGTCCAAATCCTTACCTCGCATGAGCTTTGATTCCTTCTAAATCCATGACTGCATCTGTTGCTGCCACATGAGTTTGTCTTCATTTTCTAGAATAATTTCCTTAAAACTGGAGATAGATGCAGAGATTTTTATATCCAAGTACAGAAATGAAGTACTGTGGGGGAAGCTATTAACATTTTAGTGATTTAATAGTATCACAGCGGCAGCAACTTAGATGAAACAGGGTAAAACCTGGGGGGAAGACTAAGGCCTTAATTGCATTTTGTTGTCCCTGTTTTACTTAGTTCTCTTCGGAATGCAACACTTTGGAGAACGTTGAAATTTTCATTTAAACTAAAGAGTGACATGTTGTCTTCATTGTTGTTTTTCACTTTTAGGTTAAAGAAGAGATGAAAATCCTTACCCAAGATAAAGGTGTTAACTCTTTCAAGATGTTTATGGCATACAAAGATCTGTACATGGTGAGGGACGCAGAGCTGTATGCCGCCTTCTCTCAGTGCAAGGAAATTGGAGCGGTTGCTCAGGTCCATGCAGAAAACGGAGACTTAATTGCAGAGGTAAGCATTTGCATTCCAAATCTTCTTAACTTAAAAGATAACAGCCATAATTTAAAGTGAAGATGATCAGCCCCAAGTAGGTAAACTCATGTAATGCCCTGGAAGAATGGAAATCCAGAAACAGATTTTCTGTGGCTCAGAAATACTTAATTTGGTTTACTTGAGTCTCTGTTCTTGGTTTTATTCAGGTGGTATATGCACCTGAATGAGAATTTCCCGTTTTCAATTCAGCTATTTCAAGCCAGCTAGTTGGTCTCAAACATTTGCAAATATAAAAACACAAATATTTTTCTCTGTATCCCCCAGCACTTTTTGTTGTGTTCTGTGTTTTAGTAGCTCAGCTGCTGGTTCGGACTAAACTGTGGACACCAGTGTAATCTGGTGACTTAAGCAGTGCATTAGGTAGCTGTTTAAAGCCCTAGTCTTTTCAGAAACTGGGTATTAAAATGTGCTCTGGAGGAATCTAGATGATATTTATTTCTCACGTTAGTTCCATTATTAATGCCTGAAGGGTACACCATCTGCAAGATTTAAAGAGCTGTCTCTTAGCCTTTATAGTAGCTGAGTTTTTTCTCTCTCCCTAGGCTCAGTTCCCATTTAAGTCAGTGAGATCAGGTCTCAGTGGCCAGGAGGCAGTGGGAATAAGGAGGAGAAAGCATGAGCTGTAAAATCAAACAGACTGGGTTTAAATTTGACTCTCCCATTTCCTGGCTGCATGACACCAGGCAAGTTGTGTTATCCTGAGTCTTGACTTCAGCCTTTCCTGTAAGGAAGAAAGAAAATTTTGGAGAAGGCAAATAACTGGTCCAATAACATTTAGTATGTTGGGTTGGGAGCCAGTGAAGACTATGATTCAGTAAAAAAGTAGAACTAATTACATAATATATTACAATCTGTCCCACCAATAAGGATCCGTAGTCTTTCGTTTGTTCTGAATCAATATTGTCTTCAATCTAGACAATACTTTTCAAAGAAAGTGATTTAAATGAACCTCATATCTTTTTTCACCTTTTCAATCAAAATAATTTGATGGTAAAACATGCAGATAGCAATTAACATAAACTATTGGAATATTAAAATTATTTTTATCAAATGCACACACTGCACACACACATACACATACACTCACATACACACGTGTGCGTATACCTAACAGATTGTTTTCAATCCAGCTATTTCAAGCCAGCTATTTGATCTCAAACATTTGCAAATATAAAAACACAAATATTTTTCTCTGTATCCCCCAGCACTTTTTGTTGTGTTCTGTGTTTTAGTAGCTCAGCTGCTGGTTCGGACTAAACTGTGGACACCAGTGTAATCTGGTGACTTAAGCAGTGCATTAGGTAGCTGTTTAAAGCCCTAGGCTTTTCAGAAACTGGGTATTAAAATGTGCTCAGGAGGAATCTAGATGATATTTATTTCTCATGTTAGTTCCATTATTAATGCCCGAAGGGTACACCATCTGCAAGATTTAAAGAGCTGTCTCTTAGCCTTTATAGTAGCTGAGTTTTTTCTCTCTCCCTAGGCTCAGTTCCCATTTAAGTCAGTGAGATCAGGTCTCAGTGGCCAGGAGGCAGTGGGAATAAGGAGGAGAAAGCATGAGCTGTAAAATCAAACAGACTGGGTTTAAATTTGACTCTCCCATTTCCTGGCTGCATGACACCAGGCAAGTTGTGTTATCCTGAGTCTTGACTTCAGCCTTTCCTGTAAGGAAGAAAGAAAATTTTGGAGAAGGTAAACAACTGGTCCAATAACATTTAGCAGATTGGGTTGGGGAGACAGTGAAGACTATGATTCAGTAAAAAAGTAGAACTAATTACATAATATATTACAATCTGTCCCACCAATAAGGATCCGTAGTCTTTTGTTTGTTCTGAATCAATATTGTCTTCGATCTAGACAATGCTTTTCAAAGAAAGTGATTTAAATGAACCTCATATCTTTTTTCACCTTTTCAATCAAAATAATTTGATGGTAAAACATGCAGATAGCAATTAACATAAACTATTGGAATATTAAAATTATTTTTATCAAATGCACACACTGCACACACACATACACATACACTCACATACACACGTGTGCGTATACCTAACAGATCTAAAAGCCTGGCAGTGGATTTAATTTACAGGACAATAGTGGTGTTTGTCCTGAGTAGACCTCCTTGCACGTGTGTTTGTGCCTGCTGTCTTTGCAGGGAGCAAAGAAGATGTTGGCATTGGGGATAACAGGCCCCGAGGGCCACGAGCTGAGCCGCCCGGAAGCAGTGGAGGCCGAGGCCACGCTGAGAGCCGTCACCGTCGCCAGCGCCGTGAACTGCCCCCTGTACGTCGTGCACGTGATGAGCAAGTCTGCGGCCAAGGTGATAGCGGACGCGAGGAGAGACGGTACTTTCCCGATGTGACTTCACCTGCAACTCAGTGCGGCAGCCCCCTCATCCGCGGGGACACGTTCTAAGTCCCCCAGCGGATGCCTGAACCTGGGGATGGGACCAAAGCCCGTGTAGACTATGTTTCTTCCTATACAAACGTACCAGTGTTAAAGTTTAATTTATAAATTAGGCACGGTACGCTTGCGCTTTGGGACCATTATGAAGTAAAATAAGGGTGACCTGAACACAAGCACTGCGATGCATTGACAGTGGATCTGACAACCCAAATGGCAACTAAGTGACTAAGGAGCAGGGGCGTCTGCAGCGCGGATCTGAGGCGAAGGGAGGAGTCACTGCGG